GCATGATTCTCCCTAAACAACAGATGCTGAAAGTATGGGATTTGGGAATAGGGTCTGGGTTTAGTAAAATTCCTTTAGGGAAAAGGGTCTGGTGTGACGAGGAAAACATAAGTTTTGGACTGGGCTTCAGCCTAAACCTTCAAAAAATAGCCGCATCACTATTCCTAAACAATATTCGTTGAAAGTAGGGGAATAGGGTCTCGGCTTTAGCGGAATTTCTTCGGTGGCGAGGGAAATCTCAGTTTCAAGGTTTTGGAAGAGGGTGTCAGCCTAAACCGTCAACGAATAGGGTCAAGTTAAGGGAAATTTCTCTAGTGGTGAGGGAAAACGTTGGAATCAGTTTAAGCCTCAATCTTCAACAAACAGGGTTTACTTGAACAGGGCTAAACACTAAGGGCACCCCCCGCAGGCACCCGTAGCATTGCTATGCCTGAACATTACTCGGTTCGAAGTATTTGGGAATAGGGTCTGTCTCTAAACTTTAAACGAATAAATATAGTAAAGCTCGCCTGTTACTGGGACAACTTTGCGTACATAGATTATTTGCAAGCTTGGTGGGAAACACCCCGCCCCCTTTCACTGCGCTTACCGCGGGGGGGGTCTAGATGAGTCCATTTGCCTCCCCCCCCCCCCCCCCCCCCTTTCCATTCTTGGATTGGTCATAGGTTTTTAACCTTTTTGAGTGAAGAACTGGGTTCCTGGGGGGGGGGGGGGGGTAGCATTTGCATATATATATATATAATGTGTATATATATATAGGACTCATTCCCTGCTAACCAACAGTAAGTTGTGCGAGAGTGAGCATCGAAACCCTAAACCACTGTTTGCATGCGTGATGGCCCTTGTGAAGGATGTTCGCATCGAGGCTGTGGCCGATGAGGCGCGTGCTTGAAGGGTTCATTGGTATAATCAGGGATAGAAGTGCCCTAACTAAGTTAGAATCATAGTTCTCCTACTTGCAACTCTTCTTGACAGTACCCAAATGAACCTCCGAGTAGCCCTAAACCCTAAACCCTAAATCCTAAACCCTAAACCCTAAACCCTAGACCCTGAACCTGCCCTTCATCCCAATCAAACCCTAAACCCTATAACCCTGGGGGGACCTCAGGGTCGACATGGGGGTCCTCTTGTGCTTCTAAGGGTACCTGGCAGGGTGTAGGGTTTAGGATTTAGGGGGGGGGGGGGGGGGGTTGTCATGGTCCGGACCAGCGAACTTTTTCCAGATTTTGGCGGGTTTTAGGGTTCAGAGTAGTCCAGAAGAGAGCTGGCGTTGTGGCGGGAGAGTGCCTGAGGCAAGCGGCTGCGTTAGTTGTTTTTGTTTGCTGGGGTCTAGGGTTTGGGCGTTTTAAGGTTTAGGTTTTCTTGCAGAAAGCCTTCCCCAGGGCGTACATCCGCCTTCTGGTTTGTGACTGTTTGTCTCTCTCCCTTCCGAGGAACAGAACATGATGATTGTAAGACTCGGAGCCCTATAAGGGGTCTGTTTATAGTACTACTGTGGAATTAGGTACCCAGAAACCATACTAAATAGTGTTTTCGGGTACTGAAGTCCATATAGTACTACAAATGGACCCTCCGAACAAGACGTAGAATATCGACAACAACACCACCACAGCAAGATGAACGTGATACCTACGCCTTCCCTGCAGCAGATCTGCCATACTCTGCTGCGGCCCTGGCACTCGCCTCAGTCTTTCGGTCGGCTTTCTTAGGGCTCATAGGGGCTTCGAGTTCGGTCTTTAGGCGTTAGGGTGCCTCAAATCCCAAGCTGCTGGTTCAAAGGGTTTGAGGCACCATGAACGATTCAGGGTGATGCGTCAAGGAGGGTTTAGGTCTAGGGCCTTGGGGGGGCGGCCTCGAAGGAGTGCAGAACACAGGGTTCAAGGCTCGGGCCTTTGCAGGGTTTAGCAGGTCTGGGGTTTAGGGTTCAAGAGCTCCAGAGAATGGTGGTCTGAGGGGGCTTTTTTAGGCTCTTCAGGGATGCAGGACATAGGATGAGGATTCGTGGTTTACGCATGTGGGTACACATAGGGACGGAGACAGACCTGCATCATCTTGCATGCTACTTTGTGACTCATAGTCGTATGTAATCAAGCCTTCAACCGCAAGTGAGGAGTTATTTCAAGTCTGCTATGTTTCAGGCAGCTTTCTCAGATCTGTTGAAGACTGCCAAGCCTTGAATTCAGTCCAAGTTTCCCCCCGGGACTTAGTTTTGCCCCGGGACTTGTTCAGAGCATGGACGTACTATAGGGGTCGGAATAATTCCTGATAGTATCCCCCTATGATCCCTTTGGACGTATACTATACTATAAAAGCTCCCAGAAGCCTGTTCTAATTTTTAAGGCCCCTGTACTACACGGTGTTCCCTGATGGTCCCTTTGTAATTGTGCTATAGTCACCCCCCCCCTCCTCCCCACCCTGTACGAAATTATTCAGACCCTATATTACGAGGTTGAAGGTATTGACAAGGCTTGGGGTTATTTGGGAGGGTTCATCCGGAGTACGCTCGCAGGCATGTCGGAGCCGCTCGCTGTGGGCACGCCATGTTGGGCTTAGGGTTTATGGTTTAGGCTTACGAAAAAAACTCACGGCGCATTCTTACAGTCGAAGGGTTTGATGATGCTGCTCGTGTGGGTTTCGGCTTTAGAGTTTAGGGTCGCAACAGCTGGAGGAAGTACACAATGCAAGGAATGAGAGGAAGGAGAAATCTGTATTCTTCACCCTCAAAGCCCTTAAATTCCTGAGCTTCCACAGCGGAAGCCCACCCCAAGCCCTAAACCCTAAACCCTAAGCCCTACACCCTAAACCCTAAACCCTAAACCCTAAACCCTAAACCTTCGAAGAACCCTTCTGAAGGCATCGGCCGCAGCTGGTCGACACGGGCACCAGAGGCACCTCGGCTTTTGCCTGGGGATTAGGGTTTAGGGTTTAGGGTCAGGGATTTAGGGTTTAGGGTTAGGGATTTAGGGTTTGGGGTTTAGGGGTTTAGGATTTAGGGTTTAGGGTTTAGGGGTTTAGGATTTAGGGTTAGGTGTTAGGGGTTTAGGGTTTAGGGTTTAGGGTTAAGAGTTTAGGGTTTAGGAGCTGTGAGGCCGCAGAGTTGGGTTAGCTTAAGCCGTTTTGCTTCCGGGGGCGGGGGGGGGGGGGGGGGGGGGGGGGGGCACTTCTTTTCAAATCCACAGGTAAAGTTTAACATCTTCCCTAAATCATAAGCCTTTTTTCTTCCAGTTATCTTTGTAGCCCATTGGTAGCCGAAAGAAGGGTGCCCTTATTTTCATATGCTTTCTGGGCTACAAAAAGTTATAACTCAGCCCCTAAATCCTAGATCTTTTTTCCCCCTGGTTATCTCAGCCCCTGAGTCTTAAAGTTTTTCCTAAACCGGAAGCCCTGCCCTTCACCCCGGTTGCTTCAGCCCGTAAGATCAAGGGCAGGGGGTTTAGGTTCAGGGTTTAGGTCACTTGACAGCTACAGCGGGGCTCCAGGGCGGCTTCCAAAGCAGAACGGCTCCAAACTTTCCACCAACTCGCTAAACCCTAAACCCTAAACCCTAAACCCTAAACACCAAACCCTAAACCCTAATCCCTAAACCACCCCCTCCTCCGACCTCGACAGGGTTTAGGGTTTAGGGTTTAGGGTTTAGGGTTTAGGGCATCATCATCATCACATCATGCGCTGCTGACAAACCTCGAGATCATGGAGACCGTGACCTCCCTCATGCGTAGAAGACCGATCGAATGCGAATGAGTCATGAGCCAATGAACCTCTCCAAATCTCCCTAAACCCTAGACCCTAGACCCTAGATCCTAAACCCTTGCCAAACCATGAAACAAGTGGAGCCCCCTTCGGCACTGTTATGCAAACGGTGGCACAGGCTCTTTGCAGCCTGCGGCGCCTGCCAGTGAGGTGTGAGCCCCCGTGACTGTTGTGCATGGGGTTCCGGGTTTAGGGTTTAGGGTTTAGGGTTTAGTTGTTAGGGTCTAGGGTTTGGGGTTTAGGGGTTAGGGAGGGAAGAGGGATTTAGGGTTTGGGGACTCAAGGATTTAGGGACTTAGGGTTTGGGGTTTAGGGTTTCCTGGCAGCAGCTTCCAGAGGTTCAAAAGGGGCTTTGGGCCTCACATGGTCTTGGCATCCGTACGCACTCCAAAAGGGCTTGTAGAGCTTCAGGGCATTCCCGCCTTCAGACAGTTTAGGATACTCATGGTCAGCTACCCATGACTTGGGGCAACAACAGAAGAGGTTGCATTAGCGATGTGTGCATCCTGTGGGCTGGGCTTAGGGTTTCGAGGGCTTGGGGGCACTGTGGCATACCAAGCGCATTTACGTGTTGGCGGCTTGACACGCCAGCCATGAGCTTGTGACTGACAGCTGTTTCTTGCACAAGAGGATCTTGCTAAGAGATGCTTCCTGAAAGGCAACCTCGAAACCCAAACAGCCCCCAATTCCTGCAAGACGCCACTTTGGCTCAAGTCGCAGGGCTGACGATGTGGCAACCAAAGGCACATGGGCAGTTGCTTTCAAATCATGGTCCCTAAAGACCCTGGACATAAGGCTTCATCATATGATAGGAACCCAGAAGCGACCGTAATGTAGGCACCATATGATATATATATATATATATGGAAGTAAGTAAATTTTCATAAATAAAAATAAATGTAAAAACAAATATAAATATACAAAGAAATGAATATATATATATATATATGTATGCACATCCTAATTTTACATGCTGCATCTGATGTGCAACCAGGTAAAAAGAGGCATCATGCATCCCCGTGGTTTCCAAGATTCAACATGTAAGCACTGTTAGCAGACCTCCAGAGCTTAAGCGCTAGGCCACAGTGGTTTTAGGGTTTAGGATTTAGGGCTTAGGGTTTTAGGGTTTAGGGTTTAGGGTTTAGGGTTTAGGGGTAGATTACCCTGTGCAAGCGCTGGGCGGCCATGTGCTGGAAAGACTCTAAGCGGCTGCACCGGACTTGGCCTCAAAGCGCACGGAGCTTGCAGTGATGGCGGAGCTTGTACAGTCTGAAGACTTCGCTTCGGATCAAGAGGCTGCACCCAGAAAGCTCACCCCCGAGCTCGATGCAGATGCTCGTCGAGCACTGGGTGGCTGGGAGCCGCTCTCCCCCACGGAGGCGGAGCGCGGCGTCCTTCGCGTCACCTCACGGTCACGGGTCATCTGCTTTGGTCCGACGGAGGAGGGCCTTTGCTCCCCCGTGCCACCCCCACCTGCCTTGCTGGCAGACGATGCCCCACCGCCCCCCTCAGATGAAGAGGACATGGAAGTGCAGGTAGGCCAGCAACCTGTGGAAGCAAGTGCAGCCGTGTTCAGCGAGCTGCATGCTGCGGTGTGGCTGGGAGACGAAGCAGGCATCCACAATCTGCTGCAAGGAGGCGCGGATGTGAACGCCGAAGATTCACAGGGCGTCACTCCACTCATGCTGCTACATCTTCCTTGGGAATATTTTTCTATTTTTGTTTCTATAAAAACCCAAGAGGGTATTTAAGAAGGTTATCTTTATTAAGGTTCTAATAGGGGAGTATAGGCTGGCTGTTGAGCTCATGCCCCGATCTTTGGAGTACATGTCCGTGATCCGGTATCTTTTGGAGAATGGGGCGAATCCTCGCTGCCGCTCCAGCCTAGGCTGGTCCCCGCTGGATGTTGCCGTCAGCTACGGTGACCAGAGTTTGGTGCGCGTGCTTTTTGACGCCGCGCAAGCGGACTTGCAGCGACGTTGGCAGGTACGCCTGGCTTCCATTGCGAAGTCGCTGAGCCTTCTGCCGGACTTCGAGTGCCGAATACGTTGGGAATTCGAATCACCGGTGATCCCGCTTTTGAACAGGCTGGCGCCTTCTGACGTGCTGCATGTACGCAAGCGCGGAAGTTGCTTGCGACTTGACTCCACCCTGGCCTCTTGGAAGCGATTTCGGTTTAGCAAGCGACGCAGTCTGACAATGCTCTTCATCGGTGAGCCCCTGAATGCCCAGTCGGATGAGGACAAGTCTCTGAAACCATCCCGCGGCTTCTTCATGGTCAATCATGACAAGCAGCTCATGGTAGACATGACACAGAGCTTGGATGGCGAGGAAGCTGCGGCGGTGGTACAAGATCTGGTCAAGGCCGATGCGATGCAGTGGGACATGAATGTGGCGAGTGTCGAAGTCTCTGAAGGGACTACGTGGCTCGGCTCCCCAGCCGGGCCATGTGATGTGAACGGCTGGAGCTGCAAGCGCTTCGATGTCCGAGGCGAGCTCGGAATGACCATGCGGAAGAAGGGCATGCGCATTGACGGCCTCACCTTTCAGGACTACTTCGGCCGGCCACTTCCCTCCAGCGCCTGTTTGCCCGAGCTGCGGGAGAAGTTCGAGGCTGCGCGACATGTGCGCCAGGCGCAGCTCGAGACACAGCTCGCAAAGCCAAAGACATCATCCCAGACGCCCTCGGAGCCCGTGGGTCCGATGGGGCCCACGCCCTCAACGGAGTGCTTTGCGCTGGACGAGGACTCTGAGGCGGGCTCCATCCAGTCCGAGGTGTTGGAGGACTGGCCGGACCAAGGCGCGGCCTTCGCCCACGCGGCGCCCGCGCAGCAGGCGCAGCAGGCGCAGGCTCCAGCTCCGGCCGCTCCAGCAGCTCCCGCAGCACCAGCAGATCACCAGGCACCAGATCTTACCTATAGCCAAGAGTTGAACTTTTAAGCTGGGTTTCCTTACATTTAGTATAATAGGAATCTTACATCTTCCTTACATTTAGTACAAAGGAATCTTACATATTAACCTTACATTTAGTAAAGGAATCTTACATATTAACCTTTTCGTCCCTTTTCTTTATTGGAGAAGTAAGAGATCGCCCAGGCACCAGCTGGCCTTCGGCTCGGCTCCAGAGACCGCCTCGGAACCTCCAGCCACCGAGTGTCCCCTAGTAGTAGAGTAAGTAACCTTTTAACCTTTTTGGGGGTTTAGGGTTTAGGGTTTAGGGTTTAGGGTTTAGGGTTTAGGGTTTAGGGTTTAGGGGCTTTGGCGTAGTAGAATAAACCCCTAGACAATCCCTAAGGTTAACCTTTTATCTCCCCGAGGTTACTGGACAGCTAAGGTCCGGCAGCGTCTGGTTGGCGACCGACTTCCCCATCTCCATGAGCCAGTTCACGCCGGTTCCTTAGGGATTATTGGGAAGTTTTTTTTTGTAAATAAATTCTTGGGCACTGTAATTCCTATAAGAAACAGCTAAAACTATAGTTTTTGCTAGGGTTCCAAGTTCAGCAGAGGTTCTGGATGCACTTGCCGTGCACCACAGCCCCATGAAGCGCCTGAAGGCGACGTGGCGCCCTTGGGAATCTGTTGTTTCTGTGTGTTTTGTTTCTCTTCTTGGTGTTATAACAGGCTGTTCGGCCCCAGAATCCCCACAATCAACCCTATAAAAGGGCCTTCTCAAGGAGTTATAGGGTATAGTAGCCCATGCTGGTATAGGCATCTTTCTTGTACAAGGGCTTTCTACAAGGGCCATCCGAGGGGATCTTCGAATCTCCACAATGTACCCTAAACGGCCTTTCCAAGGGGGGAAAAGGGCATAATAGCCCATGCTGGTAAAGGAATCCTTCTTGAACAAGGGCTTCAGCAGGACCTTTTTACATTTTTATGGGGTTATAGGATATAACAGCCCATGCTGGTATAGGAATCTGTTGTTAAAAGGGGTTTAGTTTAGGGTTTAGGGTTTAGGGTTTGGGGTTTGGGGTTTGGGGTTTAGGGTTTAGGGTTTAGGGTTTAGGGACCCAGCCGAGGAGATCATGCAGTCGCCCAGCCTCCAGGAGGCTGCGCGGCATGCCCGGACCTCGGCCGAGGCGGCCTCAAATTCCGACGGCCTCCGCCAGGTCTTCCCGGTGCCTTAGGAATTCTTGGGACTATTTGTTCATGTTTGGGTGGTCTAACATAATTCCTGCAAGGAACAGCTGACATTATCAAATTTTTGGTAGGATTTTCCGAGTTCAGTAGAGGTGCGGGCGGCTGTGCCCATCAACCTGGCGATCAAAGCCACGCTGCAGTTCGAGGCCTTCTCCTTGACGCCGGCGGCGGCCCTGACTTCCGAAGTCTTCGCCCTGCCGGAGAGCTATCGCTTCTGGGTAGCCCAGTGGTAACCTTTATTTTTGATTTTTGGTTCTGGGTTCCCTTATAAAGTAACCAACTAAGAAACAGGGTGCCCTGATTAGAATATGGTTGCTGGGCTAGCAAGTATATAGGGATTATATAGGGCCCTAAATTCCCTTGTAAAGAAACCAACGAAGAAAAGGGTGCCCTTGTTATAATACGTTTTCTGGGCTGCTGAGGCGTTTATACCCTATGATCCCTTAAAAGGCCCTATTATACCCTATAATCCCTTAAAAGGCCCTAGTATTCCCTGTAATCCCTTAAAAGGCCCTATTATACTTTGCAATCCCTTAAAAGGCCCTATTATACCCTACAATCCCTTAAAAGGCCCTGTTATACCCTATAATCCCTTAAAAGGCCCTAGTATTCCCTCTAATACCTTAAAAGGCCCTATTATACCCTATAATCCCTTAAAAGGCCCTAGTATTCCCTGTAATGCCTTAAAAGGCCCTATTATACCTTATATTCCCTGAAGAGGCCCTTTAGAGGGTTCATGATGGGGATTTTAAGGCCTAAAGAACCCATCCTGGGGTGCCCCAATCAGAATATGGTCACTGGGGCCCTAAGCCCTAAACCCTAAACCCTAAACCCTAAACCTACGAAGGTTTTGTGGCCCGCAGCGAGGCTCAGAAGACAGCTTCGCGGGCCAAGAAGCGGATGCTTATCGCCAATCTGGCGCTGTAATGTCTGTATCGTGGAAGCGGGTGCATCGATAGGGGGTAGCGCCACGGTTTAGGGTTTAGGGTTTAGGGTTTAGGGTTTAGGGTTTAGGGTTTAGGGTTTAGGGTTTAGGGTTTAGGGTTTAGGGTTTAGCAGTAAGGCATGACTGGTAGCCGAGTTTCGTCGCTACTGCAACCAGGATTACATGTGAAATGCTGCATGTGCTCCAGCTTCCACATCTTTGTCAGAATTCGGGATTGCAGGCACTCCGTGTCATGGTAGTTCGTCCACTCATTGCGAAATGAACGGTGAGAAAGCTCCTCCTGCGATGCATGCCTTTCTTATCGCTGGCCGATCTCGGTCCGACTCACGGTGGTGTTTCAACGCAAGGCAAGACAAGAACTCTACCTGAAGCATACCCTTAGGCTCAAAGTATCCCAACCTGATCTAGGAAGGCCTTTTGACCCAAAAAACTCTAAAGTAAGAGGCCTCAGAGCCGCATAGGGTTTAGGGTTTAGGGTTTAGGGTTTAGGGTTTAGGGTTTAGGGTTTAGGGTTTAGGGTTTAGGGTTTAGGGTTTAGGGTTTAGGGTTTAGGGAGGGATAGTGTAAAACGATCAGACACACACTGCATACCATGACCGACTGGGTCGTGCCTCGTCGTGCTTGTCCGAGTGTGAGCGATTAACTTAGTCGTAGAGTAGTGGTTTAGGGTTTATGGTTGAGTGTTAAGGGTTTAGGGTTTAGGGTTTAACCTTTTTGAGGCATTCCCAAAGATTAACCTGTAGTTCCACTAGGATTCTGGACGACCAAGTTATGCCATGCTCAGGTGACCCTGTCTGCATACCTCTGGCAGGCCCCGAGATTTGGGTTTGGGGTGGTGGGGTTTAGGGCTAAGGGCTTGTGGTTTGGGGTTTTTGGGATTAGGGTACACTACCCCCTCCCCTCGCGCCTCCAAAGTCCACTTCAGACCGCCCCACAAAATAATTTCAAAAGCCTGCAAGGCCTGAAAGCCGTTTCTTGGAATCGAGGGTTTTGTGCCTGGGGCTTAACCTAGATCCCAAAACCTTCTTGGTTGCAGGCTCTTAGTATAAAACCTCTTGATCGGATTCGTAGGTAGCTTACAAGAAAGTAGATGTTGAGTTCTTAAGGTAGGGTTCAGGGAAACCTCTGGGTCTAGGGTTTACGGTTTCGGGCGTAGGGTTTAGGGTTTCGGGTTTAGGACAAAAAGGGGGTTGATGGTTTGCACCTGAGGCCCCTAGCCACGCTAGATCTTCTGTTGAAGTGCCGCCTTATTGGGTCCCAGTTTCTGGGGTTTGGGGGTTTGGGGTTTAGGGTTTAGGGTTTAGGGCCTAGGGTTTAGGGGCTCCAGGGAGCTTCGGGTGACATGCTTTCCTTCCCGTGTTGTCTTGCTTTTTTCTTGCCGGTGTCATTTATAAGATCATGTCCAGAATCCTTCTTTAAGCTTTGTCAAGGGCCAACCCAGCCACAACCTGAGTTTAGGGTTTAGGGTTTCGGGTTTAGGGTTTAGGGTTTAGGGTTCGTACACTGCTTACACCATAACCCACTCAGACGCGCCTAACGTCTTACCACACTGCTTGGATGTTCCTGGGCACTTACAAGTAGAGAGTGCCTTGAAAAAGGTGTATAACCATAGACTAATAGATACCCTACTTATAACCCTACAGGGTGGGGCCCCCTTACTATGCTAACTGTAGTTAAGGGACTTATAACCTAACTTAGGGTCCTTATAACCCAATTTAGGGCCCTTATAACTCTACTTATAACTAGGGGGCCCCACCCTGTACTTACAAGTACCCATGAGCCCGACATTACCCTAAACCATAAACCCGACTATGGTCTGGACTCGAACCAATGAACCTTTCCCGCCTTGAGCGAGAGTGCGCGTCAGAACCCTAAACCCTAAACCCTAAAGCCTAAACCCTAAACCCCAAACCCTAAACCCTAAACCCTAAACCCCAAACCCTAGACCCTAGACCCTCAACCCTAAACCCTGCTTCGACGTACCCAGATGAACCTCCTTTTCCCCCAAGCACTACTTCCTCAGCTCCGCTTTGCATCGCTGCGGCGGCGGGAGCCACCCACCGGCTCGCAGCCCGCAGTTTTTTCTCTGGCGGGTTGAAGATGTACAGGGTGGGGCCCTAGTTATAAGTAGAGTCATAAGGGCCCTAAATTGGGTTATAAGGACCCTAAGTTAGGTTATAAGTCCCTTAACTACAGTTAGTATAGTAAGGGGGCCCCACCCTGTAGGGTTCAGGGTTTAGGGCGCAGGGTGGTGGGTTGCAGCTGCTGGCTTTAGCTTTACCCTGAGAGCAGCCAGATACCTCAGATACTGTCATGGGGGCCCCGAATCGCAGCATGTACTAACCCAGGTGCATGGATCCTTTGGCTTTGTTTTTTTCCCCCTGCTTTGGTGTTGGTGTTTTGTTTTGTTTGTGTGTGTGTGTGTGTGTGTGGCTGGCTGGCTGGTGGGTGGGTAGGTGCGTGGGTGAATGGGTTTGGCGGTTTATCAATGTTTGGGCTTGCACAACTTTACGGCATTGCATTTGTTTACTTGATGTGCTGCTTTTGGATGGGCAGAGGCGATTGGAAAGAGCTGTATCGAGGTTGGTAACTTCAGTGGTGGATTTTCTGCAGGGTTGAGAGGGTTTCGGAGGGTTTAGAGAGCTCTTATGCCTGATACTTCGTTCCTTTAGGAACTATTTATTGGGATGTCCCCCCTTATACTCTTATACTAAGTTCTTAATAGTGATTCTAGTACCCCTTTCGAGAATCCCCATTAAGGACTGTTCGTTCGAAGAGGGAATATCCCAAACTATTTACTCCCAGATGCCCTGCCCTGGAATGTCTGCAGCCTGTTTTTAAGCGGCTTGAAACC